ACATTTCCAGCAAATATGAAAATAGTCTTTATAAGAATGGTGAGAAATGTGTGTTCACTAATTACAGAACAATATCCTTGTTGACACAATTTTCAAAATTATTATAGAAATTATTTGTAACCAGATTATTTCGATTTATAGATAAACAGAATATTTTAAGTAATAGTCAATATGGGTTTAGAGCAAATAATTCAACATCAATGTCTCTCATGGAACTAGTAGAAGAGACAACAACTGCTGTTGATCAAAAACAGTGTTGTGTTTCTGTTGATTTTAAAAAAGTCCTTCGACACGACTGACCACACCGTTCTCCTTGAAAAACTGAATAAACGTGCAGTTAGAGGAGTAGCACTACAGAAGGTATCCAGTTATTTGAATAATAGGAAACAGTTTGTGCAGGTAAATGATGTAAGATCTGAATTTTGTGTTAATGGACATGGAGTTCCTCAAGGCTCTGTGTTGGGACCAAAGTTGTTAATTTTGTATGTGAATGATCTGGATGATGGGTCGGGGCTTTTGAAGTGTTTAATTTGCAGATGATACCACATTTTTTTGTTCGGGTGAAGATATTGAACAGATGTATTAAATGATACAGGCAGAATTCATACAAATACAAACTTGGTTCCAACTTAAATAATCGTTAAATTAGGAAAAAACAAACTACGTGATATTTAGTAAGAGAAATAAAATGATCAAAGTCCCATTTAAAATGGACAGTATTGAAATTCATAGAGTTAATGAAATAAAATGTTTGGGTGTCGTTATTGATTAGAAGCTGACATGGAAATCTCATGTAAATTACTTAAGCATAAAAATAACAAAATCTATTGCATTACTGTATAAAGGAAAAGAGTTTTTGAATGACAAAGCTTTGTACATATTGTATAATGTCATGATTGTTCCATATTTAATCTATTGTATTGAAGTTTGGGGAAAAGCATGCAAAACAATTACAAATCCTATTTTTATTTTACAAAAAAGAGATATAAAAATTATTAATAGGAAGTGCTATGATCACCCAACAAATGTATTATTTCATCAGTTGAAATTATTCAAATTTTATGATTTGGTTAATATAATATTTTACAAGTCATGTATAAAGCTCATAAAAAATATTAGCCCAAGTATTAAATTAAAATGTGTTAAAAAGAGAGTTATTATAACCTGAAGGAATGGAAATGTTTGTAAAACCTCCAGTTAGAACTGGTGTGAAGGAGCTGCGTTGTAGTTCAGGAACAGGACGTGGAATTGATGCAATGTCACCATAAACATTTAGAAAACAAGTTATATGTTTAAAAAGATGATCAAGTTCAAGTTGCTACACAAGATACCAGGTGAGGATGCCTGATGATTTTTTGTTTTCAATTTGGAGATGGTTCAAGCCTGAGTTTTTTGTAGTCATTTTATATATTTTTTTAAAATAAGGAGCAGATATTATAAGAATTTTTTTCTTCTTTCTTCACCCTTTTCATTCAATGTTTTTTTT